ATGGCTGGCAGGAAAGTTGATATTTTAAACCTTAATAAAAAATCAATACAGGGCTTTAGAATATCGATACAGTATCGGGAAATGAAATATCGCGATATTTCAGTGTATCGATATTTTCTTACACCCCTAGTACAGAACCAAAGGTCTGCAAATTTCAATGAACTAAAACAATGGTGGAAAAGCGTGAGTCCACTAGTTTTATATAAAGYCATGCTATTTCTGCTAAATGTAATTTGATAAGATGTGAAATATAATAAAACAGTGTGTCATTGCCTGCTTTTGCTATTGAATTACTTTGACAAAAGAGCATGAACTATCTTGTTTGTTTATATCTCCCATTTCCCAAATATTGTTGTTTTTTCAGTGTTAGTTTTTAAAAAAAAATATGGTTAATTCCAAAATCAAGTTATAATAAATGAAACTTTGAATGTTTGAACCTTTAAGCTCCTCAGTCTATTTAGCTAAATATGTAATTTTCTTTGAAGTATTTTTGTTTATTTTTCTTAAACCCATTACATCAAAGTCATTCTAATCTGCAGYAGTGTATATTGAGTAAATTAATCAATGGGCAAAAAGAGCAAGCATTTTCTTTTCAAATGACATGTTTTATAATATTATCTCTGCGTTGGCTCAGTTACTGTGTTTWCAACGTCAACTTCGACTCATTGCTCTATGAATACCCAGAATACAAAATCCTGCTAATGCTAATCCACTATATTTTTAATATGCAGTTTTAACATTGATATTGAATCAAATCCTAATATCTTATGGTAATACGATTAGAAATTGCCCTTAAAGATATGCACTCTTTTGGAAAAATGGAAGGTGTCAGTGGTTTATTTTTTCAAGTGACAGGTTTTATCACCAGCCAAGGTAGTGCTTAAATAATCTGACACAGGTTTAGCCAGTTTGTTGTGGCAAAATAATTGGATTATAAGGTCCAGATTGAACTGAGGACTATTGTTGGGGCCCGTGATCCTTACCCCCTGTGGTTAAAGCCCTAAAGAAGCTGTTGCTTCCAAACAAACTAATCTAGAAGCCATGTACATGGATTTTTCTTTTCACTTCATTTCATCAAACATTAAATCTCAGCTTTCAAACTGCTTAGATTGTGACTATTGCATCTTTTATGTTTTTTTTTTTATGTATCAAATCTGTACATTTTCCGCAGGGCTTATCTTATTCATGAAAAAATAAAATAGAAACAACGCATAGATTTGTTTTGGCACACACAGCCTTCAGCAGAGCGTGCAAAATCTATTCAGTGAAGAGTCTGTACAGATACACATGTCTGCACACAACCACACTTGCACTGCAACACAGAAGTACTGCTTTTTGGCTCAGTGCTTCACATACTCTTTCCCTCTATGTTTGGCCAATGTTTTGCTTCAAAATTSAAACACTACCATGTTAATATGTAGTCAGAATACTTGATACAATATAAGAGAAACAAGTCTAATGTCTAAATTTTGGCCTTTATGTTGGAATTTCAGATGTGGGGGATCACAGCTTCAGGGCACTGTCCTTTTTTTTCAGTGTGACAGTCACGAAAAATGTCTTGACAATCGTTAGATTAAATAACTTTTTATAATGTTGGAACAGTTACACTGACATTCCATTATTTAGGACAGGCACCCACGGCCTCATAATTTGATTCAGTCAGAATTCACCTGCTATCAAATTGTGCTGTCAGACTAATCAAAATTATGCTTTTTATTTTGTTCTCTCAGAAATCAAATAGCTGTGCTTATTATATTAGGGTTTTTTTTTTACCCCCAGTCTCTCATTAATTTATCTCTGTGTTGCACAAACTCTGACACACAAGTCAGTTTTCACAGAGCTCCAGTTTGCATCTAGTGGCCACTCCATTGATTTTACTTGACAAGTCCCTTACCTGGTCTTTAGTTTGACTCGTTGCTGGTATAGATATGAAGACTAATCTTCAAGAATGAGCAATGTTTGATAAAGTTAAAATATCCTTCTCTATGAACCTTGACATAGTGTCTCAATTCATTACTCTATTTCCTGGCAAAAAAGTAGTCCATATCATTAAATAAATAAATAAAATCACATCCATCACAAAGCAAACATTTTTTTCCATTTTTTGAACTTGAGGTATATCTTGGATCACTCTGTTAACAGTTGACAATGGGTAAACTGCAAATTGATGGTTTGAAGGATGGACCGAGTTAGGGTTTTATGTCATCTATTGTGCTTTAAAATGTGCAACAACAAAACATTTTTGTTGAAAACGTTAGTAAAGGTGGTTAGCTAAGGGTTTAGTTACACAAATTTCGCTGTGGCTTGGCAGTGTTTAGTCATGCGTGCTTTGGGCTCTTTCTGTTTATATGTACATTTCATAGTTATAATATAACTTGCAGAATTGTATTCAGTTGTACAGTATTTATATGGTTGATAGGCTCCCTTCACATAGGGCATATTGTGTGTGCTGTGGTTAAAAAGCTCAATAGAGAAAGGCACACAACGATACACTTCTTCYAAGTTTAATCCCAGAAAAGTTTGAGAATTTACCTTGAAAATGCTTGAAAAGGGCTTGAATTTAACTGTGGGAAAAGTAAAAACCCTGCATTTGCTGCTTCCCTGATGCAGCCCATTTTAACTACTAACAGAGTTAACTAATCTTTAGGATAGCTGTAATTACCCACAGTGTTTATCACAGTTTTTATTTTTTCTGAACAGCACTTATTCTAAAAGAAACATTAAGACTGTATGCTTAAATTGTACTTCTCGCATGTTGTTATGCGGAAGCCCATTTACAACTTCCTTATTACCCATCAGCGACAGCAAGCAAGCGTGCAGAGTCTCAGTCCAGTCTTCTGTTGGCCTTYGCCTACTTGCCTGAACTCTGCAGTGTTGTTCTGTCTCCCTTGCCTCCTCCCGTCCTCCTCAAGTGGGAGTTTCACTGATATTCTCTGTCACAGTCCTGACACAGCACTTCCTCAGTCTTGGTTCACTCCTGCCCCGGGCTCTGACTGCTTCTTTTGGACAATGCCCATCTTTGTTTGCGTCTCCCCTCATTTTGGGAATCCAGGCATGGCTGGTAACCACTGGTGGATCAGGATGATGAGGTCACTGTCTCTGCTTGGCCTGCCCTTGCC